CAGCATGGGTTGTGCCGGCAAACCCCGGTCACACGGCCCCCTCTCCGCTGCTGCGGAAGTTTCGTGGCAACCTCTCCAGAAAGTAAATGGCCTCACCCCTTTGGCCACTGCGGGATTACTGCGAGTGGTCAAAGAAATGCCGTGTTTGAAGGACACGGCGCAGATGCTGTGTTCATGGCCTGTGAGCGAGCAGACTCCTAGCTAAAGCATAGAATAAGCCATGAGGCAATTTTGTGGCATAGGCCATACGTTCTTTAGGGCTCTGCATATGCTTCTAGCACCTACCAACAAATAACCATCCTGGCCTCATCTGGTGGGTGATTTGGGTACACCAGCCAAACGAAGCCTTGGCCGAAATTGCAGTTCTGCTGTCACTGCTTTCTGGGCTGTCAGATTATCAGAAACTAGTTACGTTGACAGAGGAGAAAGGGAGTCCCCTTTCGGACCCTTGAAACAAGTGGCAGCCTGGAACAAGACACAGGTTGTTTACCATTTTACTTTTAGGTGCTTGATGGATGGATGGATGGCATATGTGAGAAGCAAAAAGTGATCTTGGTGCTTAAAATAAAATATTGGAAGAAACGTGGGTCTTTTTAAAGGGGTGGGAGGGAGTTGGGTAACACTGTAAGCTCTCCCAGGCACTTGGTACTTGGCCATTAGGTACAAGTGCCTGGTGTGGGAAGGACTGGCACATCCGAGGCATCAGACACTACATGAAATAACAATGGCTGATCTGTTCCTGGCTCTCTCGCTGCCTTTGTGTCTCTTCACTGTGAAAAACACTGCTTTCCCTCAGGAAAAACGTCAAAGAGATGTTAAGAAGCCACTCAGGGAAGGCAGACTTCAGCTCTGTCACAAGATGAACCCTGGTTACAGTGTCAGGCTTTTCTTGGGTGAATTTCTGGTCATCGCTGCCTTTTTACTCCCTGTTATCCTACATGAATTAGTCAATCTAAATGAAAAAAATATCAGTGAGGACAAGTTCTCTAACCAGACACTAAAGTTAGACCCGTTCTACTTAGCATTTTTATACAAGAAGACAAAGCAAGGCCTTCCCTTAAAACATCTACTGTATAAATTGTTGAGTTTATTTTAAAACAAGCAATTCCATGAGCATTGGAGGTAATGCAGACTGAACTGGTATTTTGTCCCCTGATGGCCTATTTCTGTCTTTATTCCCAGCTGCTTCATTTGCCCCCTGTGCCATACGTCCCTTTCCCTCGGTGTAAGTACCAGGGCCAGCCTCTCTCCCCTATACAGCCACTGTTTTTGTTTTCTTCTGCTTTTTAGTAATAATATTTAATAATAATCTTTAATATTCTTCCTTATATTAGGAGACTGACAAGGCAATTATGTAAGTTTGTTTCTGTAGAGAACTGGATGAAAGGTTGTAAATTGTTGGGTTGCATCCCATTTATTTCTCTCATGAAAGATCAGTGAGATTATTGAGACCAGGGTATGATTCAAAACACCCAGACGTAAGCAGAGTGCTGTCCTAATTCATAATCTTTATTTTTAACTTTAATAAGAACAGTTTTAAAACTTTCTCTCCAAAAAGTAGAAAACACTACATGAAAATACAAAGATTACCCAGTCAGGGTAAAAATGCTTCAAAACATACTTTTAAAGTAACTTGTTCCTCTAGAGTACCTGAGAGCCCATCTAGTGCTTGGGCTGTTCCTCCTGCCGCTGCCTTTTCCATTTATTGATGTCAGTTTTCTAACGGAGTTTATTCCAGTTCTGTTCTATATTAAATTCTAGCACATAGATATTCTCTGTGAAAGAAACTAAAAAACGAGTATATTAATCTCATGTGAAAGGAGAGCTTTGATTTTCACAAAATATAGGAAAAGGATTCTTTGAACAATTCACATGCTTATTTCTGAAATCTTTTGCCTGCTGAAAGTTCAGCTGAAAAGTGAAGACCCTAAATGAACCGAATTCAATTAAGATCAATAAAACTGAACTAGACAGAGTTCATCCCAAAATATTCTCTCAAAATATCTCAAATGGTTCCCAAAAGATAAAAATGCAGGCAGGCGCTCGGTGACCTTGCACAGATCTTCATCCCAGCTGCCCGGGCGGTTTTCAGCTGTACATTTACATCGGTTTTCTGCCTATTCTTTGGCATCCCCGATCCCTCCAGCAGTTATTGCAAACGTGGCTTCGTTTTCAGGCATCTCGGGGCTGAGGAAAAAGAAAAAGAAACAAGGAACTTGTGGGCTTCCCCATGTTAAATGTGGTTGTGAAACAGCCCCCAAAATGCTGGAAGTGTAAGCAACCTGGAAAGCTTCCATGCCTTCGTACCTGTGTGCAAACTGTGGAGTTTGATCAATATTATCAAGATGAGAAAATGTGAAATGGGCCTCTTGGAAGGTGGCAAACACAAGGGAGGGGAATGGAGAAGGTGCAGGAAACGGAAAGATTCTGTCTGTGCAAACTCTAATTTCAATTTCTTTGTTCCTGACCAGAAACTCTGGTCTCTCCATGCAGTTTCTCCATTGCAATCTTTAATGGCTTGTGTCTGCTGCAGTTTATCAGGTAAACTGATACCAATTGTGTCAGCAAAACCAAGCAATTTAACAGCTCTGGAACTTTCCTGCCAAGGGACCACCAGTCTCACCAAACCATCTGATAGTCTTCTCTAAGAGATGAGCATCTGGTAGGATTTATGATGAAAGTCTATGTAATTTAATGTATGCAATATATAAACTTCAAGTCTCTTTATTACTCTGTCCTTTCAGCTTTTCTCTCAACTTACCATCCAGAAACGACGTTAGTTTGAAACCACGAATTGGTTGTCAGGCTATTAAGTTTCAGTACCGTGAACTTTGCCACCTTACAGTTGCTCATAAGGCAGGTTCCTTCCTGTGAAGCAACGGTGATTTACCTGTCATATATCTTTGCAATCCGCAGCTCCCCTCTCCCTTTCCTCAAACTAATCCTGGTAGTCGAAGCATGAGCAAGGATGTGGCCCCCAATGGGCTTTTTTGGGTCTGCCTGAAAGCTAAATTAGCAAGAAAATGGTGATGATTCACTGTGCAAATTCCAGAGGTTACTACAGTGATTAACTGTCAGATGAGGCATATTGAACTCAGTAATGAATAATAAATAGGTAAATATACATATTTTAAAAATAACTTTAACACACTTGCCTAAAGATAGGATGTTCAAATGTCCAATGCTGGCATAATTTTCCTCTCATTAAAGTCAAGATGCTCAAGAAATACAATAGCTTATAAATATCTAAAGAGGGGGTGTCAAGAGGATGGGGCGAGACCCTTTTCAGTGGTGCCCTGTGACAGGACAAGGGGCGACGGATACAAACTGGAACTCAGGAAGTTCAAGCTCAACATGAGGAAAAACTTCTTTGAGGGTGACAGAGCACTGGAAGAGGCTGCCCAGAGAGGTTGTGGAGTCTCCTTCTCTGGAGACATTCAAAACCCGCCTGGACGCCTTCCTGTGTGACCTCGTCTAGGTGTTCCTGCTCTGGCAGGGCGGTTGGACTGGATGATCTCCAGAGGCCCCTTCCACCCCCTACCATTCTGTGATTCTGTGAAATACACAACTGAAACTTCACATAGGTTGCTCCAAAAGAAAGTGGGGTGCTTTTTCCACTTTTAAAGGCTTGTTCTTATCATTCAAGTCACAGTGAAAGAAGCCATCATGCCAGGCAGCAGATAAACATAAAAAAACTCATTACAAAAACTGAAAGAAACCTATAGGTGTCATCCCTGAATGATTCATCGCACCAGAGGGACCAGTGACCAACCTGAACCTTAATTTTTATGCCTTTTGCTTCATACAATCTGAGTTCCCATCTCAGTTAAATATGTAATACAAAAGAGAATATATATATATATTTTAAATAGTGGAAAAAAGTCTCTTACGTCATAGTTGCTCCTGGATCAGCAGTCATCTGGTTGGTCACAAACACAGCCACATTGTATTCTGCAATAGAAAACAATGCAAAGAAGGTGGACTACATCCAATTAGAATTCCAAAATATTCTCCCGTCCATGGTAAAAGCAAGGTTGCTGCCGAAGCACTTCAAATTTCAAATGAAAGAGAAGCAAATATTCTTTAAGTCTGATGGCTGGAGTTAATCAGCCTGAATTTTTTCCTGTGTGACTTCAGCTGTGATACTTATGCCAAAACTGAGCACTTTTCAGAATACAACTGAACAAGTCTTTCTCAGTTCCCATCTTCTCTGTTGGCTCCCTGCCCTCTGGCCCCTCTGTCTCCCTTTGTGCTGTTTTTTAATTTTATTTTTTATTTATTTACTGCATGAAAAAACATTTACTCATTCCTCATCAACATTTCTGAGGCATTCCAAAGAGGAGGAACCCTATTCATCCTGTCATCATCCCTCAGGGCATTGCAGAGTACTGAGAACATGGCAATGGGCAGGGCTTTTTTTCTCTCTTTGCCTACATCATTTTTGTTTTTCTGTTCTTCATGCTTCTCTTGTCTTTAGACTGTGAAAATTCAGGGAAGACAATTTATCTTATTATATATTTGTCCAGTTCTACAACCTATTCTCTCACTTAGGAATTCTTTTAACAGTATTTCTAGGACAACTCTAAAAGTTGTATAGTTCCAAAGATTCCTTCATCTGTCATCCTGAAATAATATAAGTTTGATCTTTTTGGTAACTGACAGAGGTGTAAAGTGAGGAAAGATTCCTGGAGCAGTGCCTGATTCATAATACACTTGGACTACTAGGTGGTAGTGCTACCAACAACTGCCATTTCAGAAGCTTCAGTCCACGTTTTCCAAATTTTTCACTGTTTCCCTTACCTTCTGATATTTTTTGGAGCCTTGACAGCATCTGAGCGAGTTTCTGTTGTCGTTCAGCCAACTCTCCACGACCACTGAAATCCACACGGAAAAGTGCCATTATGGAGTCAATGATCTGCATTGTAATTATGCTGGATAAGTAAAGATAGTGAAAGAAAAGAGGAAAACATGCTCTGAAAGCAGTAAGCATACAACAAAAATCAGTCTTGTACCAACAGCTTGAAGATACCCGCTTCCTCGTGGAACTTGGCTGCTACATAGTCCAGCAATTCCATCTGATGTTCACCTGGTGGGAAGTACAGTTGCCAAATGAGACTGGGACCAGAAAGAGCTCTGAAGCAACAAAAGCCTCAATTTTAAAATTCCTTTTCGAATGCCTGCGCTGTTTATATTTTCACTGCCAGCAGTTTTAAATGCAATGCCAAACAACAAGCTACCTCTACAATAAACCAGCAGTGCCTGCATCTGCAGGTTCCAGTTTCCACTTGCCCAGCTAACGAAACTTCTTTGTGAAAATCTTCACAACAAAACTAGGCATGAAGACAACATTTTCTCGTGTTAACGACTGAAAAGCAATACGAGCATTTCAACTTAATGTTGAATTAAATGACACACAGGAATTGTAGTAATCATATTACCCATTTTCATATTTTACTCTCAAAGTAAAATTCCCATTTAAAACTTCCTTGAAGTTTTAATGCAGTGTCTTGCGACAGAGTGTGTTGGAGCTGTCCTTATTCAGTTTCGTTCACAAGATCATAGAGAATTTCTCAACAGCATTTACAGATTTAAATTACCTTCAGGCAACCATGGTTACATTAATTGGTGCTTCTCTTAATAAGATGCTTTGCTGACACTTGTCATGTACATGGTAGAGTTTCCTTAATGTTGCAGCAAACTGCGAAACTTTATTGTTTATGTAGCGCAGCCGAGCTGGAAAACTTTCACTGAGCAAGACTGCTCAGTGTGCACCACCAGAAACAGAAAATGGAAGCAAGCTTGTTACTTCTGTTAGCAACAAAATGTTCATGATGATCCTCGGAGCGCAGTAATAAACCGAGAACTATTAAAATGGGAGCCTTAGAGAAAAAAACCATCGATATCATGCCAGCTGCAAGAATGGTCTTACTGGTATATGCACGTGCATACAGCACGTTGTCAAGCACTGCGTCGTGGTCAACATTAAAGCGATCAGCAATGTCACGAAGACGGTCTGGTCGGCTGACATAAGCCAAAGTTAAGGATTTCTCTTTGTACAAACCCTGGTCTGAAAATAATCAAACTCCATTCCAAAATAGAACTATGGAAAAACAAAGAAGAATATTTATTTTGATCCTAGAGAAGAGTGACTTTTTCTCTTCACACTGTCCCACATATCCTAAAGGTAGTTTAGGGTTCACAATGATAATTGCTTTGTCTTTAGGCTTTGGGGGGGTGGAGAGGTAGACATATGGATATCTGTGATCTAGGAATTTAACTGTGAGCAAAACCTATTTATACACAGTCTACCACAGATATGAATTGTTAAAAATAGCACTTAGTACTTAGATGTATTTCTCTTGAAGTAAATAGAAAAGCTTCTATCACCTGTATCATTACCAAGAAGGCATACTGAATATAAAAGAACCCCAGTTAAAATCTGTATCTTAACTATTTTTTCCAGGTTGTATTACATCAAATGACAGAGAAAAAAGTCACTGCACACTGCACACTGTGCTCTGCAGGCTTTCTGTGTCAGTCACAGTGTTTTACGTGTATGAAGGTGACTGGAACCTGCTTGTGTAGGAAGTCTTTCCTGTGTAGAACTGTCTTTCCAGTTATCGTACCTGTAGCTTTCAACAGTTCAAAAGATACAAAGTGTTTTCAGTATCAATGAAGATAATCTTTCCACCTGTGTAGGAGTTGGGTCCTGGAAGCTGAGCTGTCACTACAATGAATCATAGAAGATCAAGATGAAAAAGTAGGAAAAATATTTTCTTGCTTCCTCTATTATTACTTTTTAATAAAATACAACTGCTTATCCATATCACAAAGAACCACAGTTTTAATCAACGGGGAAATCAGGAGTATCTCAAGTCTTGTTGCCAGCTTGAGAAGAAACTCAAGCTACTTTTCTTGATTTGAGATCAGATGAGATTTAATTAATGGTGTTGAAACTGTGTTTCACTCAGTATGATCACTAAATCTGTAAATTTTGTATTTAAAATAGGTGAGGATATTATTAATAAGTTCTTATGTACAAAGTATCTTCTTAATCCTCTGCCGAAATTATTGGTATTGATTTAGTAGGGATTTTTTTCCAGCTGTAACTCACATGATCAAAAATTCTTTGGATAGGAACATTCCCTGATATGCAAATAGTTATTGATTTTGGGTTTAGTCTTTTTGGAATGAATAAGCTAAAATTCTCAACTCATTCAGTCGTAATCATTCATGCAGAAGGGTACGATTCTGATGACCTTGAGGGTGTACTAAATGAAAGAGGCCTTATTTTTCCAGAATGTGCCAGAATTCCTTTTAGGAATAACAGAGGGTTCGTTTAAGGGAACGTTTGCCTACCCAGTGTCTGGTGACCCTATTCCAGCAGCATTAATAGTTATGTTAGTTATTATTTACTTCCATTTACACGTTGAGAGATATCGCTGGGAAATCAGAGTCCTGCTGTATTTGGCACTGCCCGAATACGGTGACTGCCAAAGCCTTTGTTTATCCAGTTACTGTCAGCCTTTCAGTGCCCTTTCAGAATGTCATATTCAGCAAAACCTCTCAAAACCAGGAAATTAAAGAAGTTGCTGAAAAAGAATCTTGCTTTTGCCCTTTTCTGAGCAGTGCCCCTGTCCACCTGTAACCCAGATTTGTGCTCTGCTTTTCCATACAGTGTGTTTCACTGGTTTCTCTAAGACGGTCTATTATCTTCTCTCTCCTTATGGTAAAACTTAGGTTGATGTGAAAAGTATTAAAAAGGTAATAATTTATGTGAGTTCTCGACTCAAGCACAATTAATAGAGGCAAGAGTCTCCAAGGTCTCTCTCACTGTATTTCTAGAGAGAAAAGATTATGACTTGTCTCTTTGTGTCTTTTTATTTCAGATATAGCTGTAAAAAACAGATTCACTGAGAAGAAACGGGTGTCTGTTTTAAGGTAGTACACCTACCACAAAGGGTGTGAGATAGCTGGGTTTTGCCTGTCCGGAACTCTGTTAAATAAAGAAAAAGGAAAAAAAAAGTCAGGGTTTCTTTTTCTGAGTTTGCTAGATTCAAAAGTTACTGCAGTTAGAAACTCTCTTACTTACAAAATTCACCTTTAAAAATCATTTAACCCCGATTTATAAATCATATTCTCTGCAGTAGAAATGTGTTACATGAAAGGCAAAAGCTGAAATGCTTTAATTTGATCATGCTTGACTGCTAAGGTCATTTATTCTTTTCTGTGTAGAAGTTAAAACCACATGGTGTTGTGGAAAAGTGTTAACTGAGGGAGGAAGGGAAAGAAATGGTTGATTCCACTGACCTGGCCCAGTTTCATTTTCCATAAAATGATCAATGAGAAGCTTATGAGTTTATTAATTTCATTATATCAAACCATGTCAGTCACCAGTTTATCTTTTCTAAAGAGAAGAGTACTGTGTTTTATGAACTCTTATTTTTGATGTTAAGTGTTAACCATTAACTGATCAAACTTACTATAACAGTAGATTAATTGTTACTTCAAAATCTTACATGAAATGCAATGTATCCTGAGTGTGAGTAAATAAAATACCTTTGGTGGTAGTTTTGTTACTGGAAAGGAACACATGGAAATCAGGGAAGTTTTTCCTATATCACTTGTTAGTAACTTTATTAATAATGCTATGTTGTACTGAATCAGCAGGCCTCAAGTCTAATGATTACTCAGCTCAAACTTAGTCTGCAAGCAAATGAAGAGGAAAAATGGGAAAACACTAAGAGATGTTGATTCATTCTTCTTACTCTTGCTCATCTTTATGACTACAATGTGGTAAATTTGATAGAAATAATCCAGCTTGATTTAAAATCTAAACAAAATTGCATTCTTTGTTCAGTAGTACTCATCTGATACGGTTTTCTCACCTCCAAAGGCCTCAGTGATTGCCATGCTTTCAATCCCACCACCCAGCAATTTACTGGAGAAAGGAAGAGGATTACGATATAGTTAAACCCACAAAATCACAAGAGGAAAGTAAAAAAAGAGAAATTCTTGTTACTTTAAGAAAAGTTATTTCTGCCCTAAAGCCCCTCACTTGATGCCTTAAGTGCAGGGCACTAAATGGTCACTGATTCATAAAGAATTAGCTCTGTCTCCACCTTCCTTTCTGTGTGCAAAAGAGCTATAGAAATTATTACTGGAAAGAAAGAAGAGAAAAAATACCTTTGAAAAGATAACATTCCATAAAAATATCTCAAGGGAGGTCTTGAAGACTTACAATTTTCACCTGAAACCTGCAGGTTATTTTGGCTAGGTGAAAAAATGATGGTATGTTCGGGATTCCTGGATGCAAACTCTCTTTATTTACAATGACTGTACAAAATCCAGTTTCCCCTCAGAAAAGGAGTTGGTTTTGTTGCTTACTGATGCAAGCATCTTTGAGCCAGCACTAGCTCCAAATGCAAGGTAACCTACATGTCCTAGCTGAATATTTCTTCCTTTTATATTTTTGTGTCTCGTTAAAGACAATAAATGTGATTACTGGAACGATTTGGACTGAGGAAAGATTTAAGTAAAGAGAAGCTTACTCAAATTCCTGGCTGCCAGTAGTAATATGAAATACCATCTTCCGTTTTTCACTGTACTCAAAGGCAGTCTGGAAGCCTGGTTCCTAAGGAAGACCAAAGAGAACATCAGAGGTTTATTTTAGCTTTAGCCTGAAGGTAAAGTGCAATATCCTACACAAATATCTTCTCTCCACCCTAGCCTCATTTGCACAGGTTGGATATGAAAAGCACCACAGCATCTGTCTGGTTGCTGTAGAGTGTAAAGATCCCTTTAGAGTAACGAGCAGAATAATTTTCAGAATTATCTTGGTGATGTGGTAAAAAAAATATCCGTTAAGACAAAAGTTGCACAACATTTTGGAGAGGCCAGCATAAATTTAAGCTACCAGGAACGTGATTGACTTACAATAAGCTTGTTTGCAGCTTCTTTAATCTTGTCTACTTTGGCCTCTGAAAGCCCTTTTACATTGCACAGTGCCCGTCTTGTGGTCATCTGAATTCCTTTGATCGTGCAGATCCCAACTGACTTCAGTTTTTTAATATCTGCTACGTTCTGTGAAGAAAGTTCCCACCTATGAGAACTCATGACTAGAAGGCAGAGTAAATATCTGAAACATATTTTATTATACTTTCATATGCATGTGGATTTTCAGCAAGAAAGAAGCAGATTTACAGGAAACTCTTTGTTACGGCACCAACAACGGGAAATGTTGAGTAACATTGCTGTGAGGGACCACGGTGAAGAACCATCTTGGTGCTTTTGAGAGAAAGGTGTCTTGGGTCCACCTTACCCTTATTGGGTTCACCACAATACACTTGTATTTATGTGTCACTGCTGAGTGCCAGTTTTCTAGATCCAAGGTGGTCATAAGGAAACAGTATGGATTTATTGCAGGCAGCATGGACCCCAACCTGGTAAACCCTGTAACTCTCACTCTGTCCTTGGTTCCTTAGCACAGATAATCTGTAAACCAGATAATCTGTTAGTGGGTAATTGGGAGCTGACTTGTAACTGCTGTGCTGTTTCTGCATGTTCACAGTATGTCCAGTTAACAACACACATAACCTGGCAGATCTGACTGACGCTTCAGGCTGGAATGAACTTACTGGCATTTTTCATAAATTGGGTGCAGCATGACTTCAGTCAGTGCCCTACTGACACATTTTGCCTCCTCTCACCTCATTTTATGACTCTGACATCACTGGAAACTTAAAAGGGAAGCAACAGATTACTCACAAGAAAAAACATGTGCAAGGTGTGGGATAATTCTTCCATTTACCTTTTCCAGCCAGGTTTTTTCCTTTAAAAAAACCCCAAGCTATGAACTGGATGTATTATCTATGTATCTACAGTGTGTGGGTGCATAGGACACAAGAATGGAGCAGGGCTAAATTAGAAATTAGTCATGTTCATTGGGAAGCTTATTTCTCATCCTGTTATATGATTTTGGATTATTACATTAATAGAGATGGATGAGGTAAAATCAGTTACAATTAAAAATTACTCTTTCACTCAAAAAAAATCATAACCAGCAATATAAAAAGGATTGAGTTGTTTTACTGTGATTTTCTGTTAAAACAACATACTGCTGCAAAGATCATTTTTCTAGACCAAAACTTTAAATGCATTACCCATGCATTTCTTCAGTGGCCTTGTGTTTCTGGTCAAACTTACAGCTGTTCTGCCCTACAAGTCCCGGTGTGGTAAACCTAGTTACAGTAGCTCTCTCCTTCACAGGTACACCTTCTACCTACAGCTTATGTACTAAGGAGTACCAAGGATCGTAGGATATACTCCTCTTTAGGCTATAGTTCAATACTACACAGTGTTCTGCAGCACTCCTGGCTTAATGTACTGACACATCTGCTCCCTTCTCCATCTCTTTGTCCTCTGCCTTATGTTGCAGCTCTGTTCCAGTTGTGTGCCCCTGAGGCGGAAAGGGGAGCAGACTGAGAATTTACAAACACAAAACTAAACCACGTTTTTTGTTGTGGTAATTTTTGGGCTGATTCTCAAATCCAGTTCACAGGGTGGCTACAGAAGCAGACGTGCCCTAGACATGCTCTAGGGGCAGGAACACTCACCAAAGGCTGCAGGCTCACAGCACCTTAATTCCTACCAAACACTTTTGCATATCAAACCACAGTTTCACTTGTGCTAATCTGACTCTCTTTGTGGCCACACTGTCAGACCTAGTAAATATTTGTCTCTCTACTCCTTGGGAAAAAAAAAAGCAAAACCCAAAAAGCCTATTTCTTTAAGCAAATGAATTTAACAGATATGGGCCATCATATGTTCAAACAAAGATTTTAACTGGCACAGCTGAGAACAAAAACTTCCCCTAGGGTGTGGAAATAACCATTTGGAAGGAAGGGGAAAAAAACAGAGCAGGAAACCCTTATTAAGCCAGAAGAACAGCTTCAGTCATTACTCTTCACAATGTTTCATACCTTAGTATCACTCTCTGCATACCATGTCTCATTTAATATTGACAGGCTAGGACAGCTCCCTTCCAGCTCATGAGGTCAGCCTCTTTGGCCAACTTGCTAAATTTTTAACACAAGAATCTGTGTATTTTTCCTATGTTGCCCCATAGTTACAACTCCCAACCTCATGATCCTTCTTCAGAACTCTCTTTAAAACTGTGAGTTGCCAATAAAAAAGGTTGACAACAATTATGCTATTGACACACTGAGCCCAGTAACTGTGGTGCTGACAAACGCTGCCTCGTTGTGTCTGTGTCCTCGCAATCTGAACCCGTCTGTAGCCATTTATCCTAGAGTTAAATGTTTCCATACTTTGGGCAAACACAACTCTTTATTCTGCTTCTATAACGCTGAACGTAATAGAGTTCTGGTCCATGAGCCAGTCCCCTGGATAAACATATAATGATAGCAATTCAAATAAATAGGTGATGTTTATGTGACAATTAATGATGAATATCATAACAATTACAAGAATTCGTAATTAATGAAGAAAACTAACCACTTATTTCTCTTGCTTCTAATATTTTCTTTCCTCCCACTCTACCCCCTTCACCAGCATGCTGAAAATAGTATAGCAACAATTGTCACAGTGTAATTTCACAGGGACCCAAAATGCAGGCGTAATTACAAAGATTGGCAGGAACAGGAAGTAATCTATCACACAGTTTTCAAATAAATTAGCAACTAGTTGGTTTTTCAAGAGTGCTGGGTGCTAAATACTTTGAATATCTTGCCACTTTATTTAGGAATCTGATGGAAGTGAGATTTTCTGAAAACCTGTCTTATCACCAAAGGCAAAATTTGTCTTCACATAATTGATTTAGAACTTATTGCAAGGAGGAATTTCAGTTACTTGTATCGATGTGTATATGCTTTTGGAGAAATAACCTTACAATAGCTTTATGTGGACACTTTTGTGTGGTTAAGTCATTGCTAATACTTACAATTCCATGCTTCTGTAGCAGGTCAATATCCTGAAAAAAGGATTCCTAAAAAAATAGCAGAAAAAAATACATTTTGCTTTTTCTTGTAATTACATCTATCTCACTATGTGTCTGCTTCAAATTTGCAAACATTTAAATGTATTTCAATAATAATTAATCACTTGTTGGACTACACAAATAGGCAAAGCCACATTTCCTATCACCTTCTTCATAAACCGTATTGTCACACAGGCAAGGAGTCCTCTGCTGTTCTAATAAAATGTGTGTTACAATCATCTTCTTTCCACCACAGTTCCTCAGCCTTTTCTGGTTGATGACCATTCCTTGGAAGCATTAAATTAATTGATAGTCCCCTTGCATTTAATATAGAAGAGTAAAAAATAAAGAAATAATGATAATCCCATTAAAAACTGAGCACAGCTTTTGAAAGATTAATGATGAGCACTTGAAGAGCAAGGCTGCACAGGGACTAGGAGAATGAGATTTTCTTGGTATTAGACTGGAACAAAAATTTAAATGCATTGAACTCCCTAATAGTCTTTGGGGAATTTCTGTCTCTCCCTGGATTTCATAACACTATCAAAATAACTTTAAACATTTGCTGCACATATTTTTCAGTGAACCATAAATTTACCTCATCATCTTGGAATCCTGGTTCTTCTTGGACTACTTGATCCTCCATGGCCTTCATCATGAAAGAGCAGGCAATAAAATATTGATCACTAGTGAGAAATGCAAACAAATACAGCATTGAGGTGGCAATAAATGAGTTAATGACTGTAAAAGGACTTTTAAGAAGTCCTTGAACTACAGAACCTTCTCAGTATGCCATCACATATGCATGCAAACTTGGATTCTGCTTCCACTTTTTGTTATCTGACCTACCAGACCAAAAGGAGAAAACCTCCTGCGTTACTGTCAGATGAACAAGTTTGGCTAGAAAAGGTTTAGCAGGTATTAGGAAAAGATCTCATTCCCTTGTGAGAAACTTGAGTCAGAGTATGAGTTTGGAGATGTGATCATTTTAAATTATTTATCCTAAGTGGAATTTATTCTTGTTAGAAAGCTAAAGGCAGTCTGTATTTTTATAGCAGAAGTCAGCAGAGTTGCAGACAGAATGCGTCATGGAAAGGCTATGCAACATCTCAGCTGCCCCATCTTTATGGGACAGGAAGCCCACAAAACAGCTATTGCTTCTTGCTATTGAAGAAGGCTACAACTTCTTAGTTGTATGTCTTGAGAGCAGATTATGAAGCCGTATTTGTTTTCAAGTTTTTTCTGGAGTTCAGAATACCTAACAAATGCTGAAGACATGCAAGTAATGCCTGTAAGGAGTATGCTTGCATGAAGAGAATAAAAGGGTAACTTCCTATAAGCAAGGCCTAGAGCCAGAATAGGCACTTACTGACAGTATGGTCAAATAAAAAGCAAAATATTATCTCCTTAAATTTTATGAATGCAAGAAAAAACTACTGCTAAGTAGTTCCTTAGAAATATGATCTTATAACCTGCTGTATCAGTTCTGTGATTTTGTAAATGGATAGATTGCTTCTGTTTAAATTGTGAGCTTGCCTTCACTGTTCTCTCTGTGGCTGACCAAGTTTTATAGATTGCCTCATCCAGATGTGTACATATGTTTGCTTACTCACCCTTGTTAATAAAATCCATGAAAGGTAAGATGAATTTATTATCAAACTACAAGATGGGCTATGCTTAACAGAGGACGTTATAATTTATAGACTAAATATCTGCAAATAGTTTTTTCAGCTTGTAAATGGGTGCTGAAGGTCTGTCTAATTTGCTTGCAAGAATCTTGTGTATACAGATGCTGGGAGAAGCGAGAAAGAAAATACTATAATTTTAGAATTATTTTCTTTGGTTTTGGCATGAAAATATGATGGAGCCACTTCTGTTAGTGTTTAATGGAAATATTCCTATTAAAGTCACTTGCTTCTGATAATGCCAGGATATATTTCATTTCTATTTCAGAACCCTGACAATTATGGAATGAGAAATCACGCCTTCACATCATGCCTTACAGCAATCAGAAAAATAATTACAGTAAAACATTATTTAAAAAATACCTGAAGAGGTTTAAAAAACCCCTTAGCTACAAATACTGAAGGAAGAAAAACAAGCCATGCAGAAGGCATTACAATCTCTTCCTCCATTAAAAATATCCTCCTGAAATAAACATAATCCTGCACTCCAAGTACAGCTGAACAGGTTATGGGATTGTTGTCCTACTCCCCGTCCTCAGGCAGTTGGCATCTCACAGAAAAGAAGAAGGAAACTCAGACCCATGCCTTCCTGCAGGCTCAGAGGGAAATGGAGAAATTATACCGCACCCTATGAAAAGCTTTAGGGACGAAAAAAAATCCTCCTATTTAGTGGAGAGTCCTCCTGTTGCTGATGAGTTGGTGCATGGAAAACACAGAGGATTTCAGCCACCACTGCCTGCAATAAACCAGATTAAAGGGTGAGAGACTGAGACAACACAGCAAATCCACAAAGAAACAGAGACCTTCATGAGGACACATAAACACTTTTGTGCCACCTGGGGTGCCCTGACCCTCCTGTAGCTGCCCTGGGAGCTACTGATAAGGACATGTGAGCCAGACCCCGGTGCCGCACTCCTTTTGACAGGTACAGGCCCACGGTGTTGACAGGGGCCTGGCCGCAGGATGTAGCCTTGGGTTCAAGTGAGCACTGGGTTTTGAACCCACAGAAACATCACGGCTCAAGCAACTGGAGCCGACTTTGGGCCCCCCATTAGGGCAAGATCTGACCTGCCCCGAGGGGTGTGTGGGGGACTCCGAGCTAAAATAAATGATTAATCATGTATGAGCACACGGCTTCATTTGGCTTTTCCTTGCCAGCTGCCTTTTCAGGGGATGCACGTTTCTGTTCCTAAAGGATGAGGCACCACCCAATTCCCCCTACCCCGCGGAGCACCAAAATTCCCCGTCAAAATTACAGCGATAATTAGAACACACCTCGTCCCCGGACCCCTCCGGGCCTGCGGGTGGTTACGGTACCCCAGCGTGCAGGGATCCGAGCTCCCTACGCCCCGCCCGGGCTGCAGCTCTCTCCCTCCCTCCCGTCCGCCTCCTCCTGAGGGAACGGACCCGGCGCTTTTCCCGCCGGAGCGGAGGGGCAGGGCCCTCTCGCCGAAACGAGGCTGCCGTGAGGGAGGCGCGCGGGCTCCTGACAGGAATGGGGGTGGCCTCTTTCCTTACCCTCTTTCCTTACCCCCTCTCCCACCCACCCCCCCGAAATACAGTTAAATTCATGACTTTAATTACTTTATCATCTGAAATTTATCGCCTACTGTATTGGCCATCGCTGAGGGTCATTGTGTTACCCTTATTTTACAGCTGGTGAAGAGAGGTTTAATAAAGACATGGGGTGGCGTTGGCTGGGAGGGTGCTTGGTTCAATACAGCCCAGCCCGATTGCTTTCAGGGTGCCATACATACCTCTTCCTAAACGAGGCACACGGAATTTTTTAATTGGATGGCCAAAACTTCTCAGAAGCCATCCATTTCCAAAAACTGGGAGAGAAATGGCTTGTCTGAAGTCACAGGGTGAACAAATGAGGCTGAGTCATACACGTGGTTTAATCTGCCATTTTAAAAGGATGGGAAAATGTGCTGCTTAGGATATAAACACTTCTACAAATCTGCAGTCTTCTTGGAGACAGTATTTGGGAAGCAATCTCCCATTTTAGCTCACCTCTGGTAGCACAGTTGGTACGGGACCACAGGGGAAGGAGAGCAGGGGGAGCTACTGGCTGCCCCTCAGGGTCACCCCTGTCCTGAGTGGGGGGTTCAGATGGCAGAAGGGACAGGAGCAGGATCTCAGCCTGTTTCAAGGTGCTTGTGAAAACCTCCCCACCCTGTACCTGTGGGAATTTAAGAGTACATGTGGGTGTCATCAGTGCTAGCCAAGTTGTTAAAATGATCAACAAAACCCACAGCCTCTAACCATCATCAGCATACCACAGGAGTGCTCACAGGGTCCCCACTCAAGACATCTAGGGATTTATCCAAATACCTAAAGTCTAATTCTGGGTGTCCAAGGCTTTGTCTATACGGAGGAACTGGCTGGCACTGCTTTTGAAAACTGCATTATTCCACAAGAGCTCTTCCAGAAGAGCACTTAGGCAGACAGCCCTTTAAAGACAAAGTCCTTCACAAAGTATGTTTTTATTCCAAAACAAAATGCAGATGCAGAGAGTGATCCTTCTGGTGCTGCTGAATGGCTCTGCAGCAGCTAACACCTCTGAAAACAACCTTCCCTCCATTACCTTTCTAGTTCATAATATAGTTCTCAGGGGGGTCAATGAATGCACAGAATCTGAACATTATTTCCCACCCTAAAGTGCTACTTTGGGCAATAAATTACATTCTACATCTTAAAAATGTTGTGTGATCATTAACTGTCCATTCAGCTTCCAGCTGGCATTGTACAGTAACCCCATCACATTACACACCAGCCAAGTGAGTCGAGGCATCCCAGAACCTGCTCCTTCCCTCCTGCAGGTTTTGCTGCTGACCAGTGCACCTCCCGCTGTGGGTGAGCCACTGGCAGTGAGACACACAGCTGTGATCTGCATTTCTTCTCACTTGAGATCTTATCCCAATTTGGACAAGATGAGAACCAAGCCAAACCATTGCCATAAAAATACTAAGTATTGAACTGATTTTTTTCATCCTCACAAACCATTTTGACCCATGGTTGCAGTAGGAAAATAATGTGGGGTCTTTTTGTTTGGTTGGTTTGGATTCAGATGTACATGGATCAAATGGACTGAAGTCAAATATATAAGCTAATGCCTTCTCTGAACTTTCATGTTGGCAGTTTGCCTGCTCTTAAGCAGGACAGAATAATCTGATATTTGACATTCCAGAATATAACCCATGAAGATTCAGCCTGAGATATGAGTGTACATTTATGTCTGCACTGTTTTAGAAGAACTGTGCTTTCTGGTTTCCATAGGAATACATTTCACTTGCAGTCGGTCCCAGACTAAAACTGTGACACACCTGAAATCTTCCCAGAATTGCAGAATGCTTCTGGGCACAGATGCAGCAATTTCTTCATATGCTTCAGCTCTCCCTTCTCAAGCAGCAATGGCTTATCCCCCAGCCCTGTAAAGCTGAAAATACATGTTGAGAGAAAGAAAGAGAGAAAGAATACTGAATGTTTCAAAGGCAATCCAAGTATTAACAAGCTAAAAACTTTCTTTTGTCTCCTACAGCAAAGGAATATACAGCGTAAGAGTTCAGTATCACCTCGGAAGTTATGTTAGCTATTCCAAATACATCCCCAAAATTACCCAAATCCACCCCCAAAATTACCCAAATCCACAAATTATGACAGCCTTGCATTGACATCTCACTGTAGGTACACCCTTAGTCACATCAGAATTAATGGTCACTGCTTCCAAAACAAAACCTGATGAAAACCTTTCTGTGAGGCAGTGCCAGGGAAACAGATTCCACCTCAGCCAGTCTCAGGGAAAGGCCGTGCTGCTTTAATGTGCTCCCTGGACTTGCACTAACTGCACACATCACAGCTCTTTATCCATGCCTGAAAGCTGTTCTGAAAACCCTGGTTAGCTTATAGGTTATACCTACAGCAAAAGAAAAGAGTAGGAGAATAGAGGTCAGGTTATCAGAACACAGTAGGA